AAGTCAGTTTATGCCCCGAGGCAGGAGGGATTAATCTCCCTGCCAAACTCTTATTTTTAATATTTATAATTCTAGCTCTGTTTGTCCTCATTAGCCATATCAACCCCTTTTTTGGCATCTTGGTAGGCTCCTGGCTTCAGTGAGATTTTTTGGCAAGGAGTTCCACAAGCTAACTGGGCATTGTGCTAACCTAAGCCACAACCATTTACCCTACACTGGTTCCAGTTCAGAAAGTTTGTCTGAAATTTAACCATCTAGAATGCCTGATCTTCTATTGCTTCTTTTCCAAGGATCAAAGAAACATGAGGATTTGCCATTCTGGGTTAGATCATTGGACCATTCAGTCCAGTATCCTGCCTCCAGCAGGGGCCTCTACCAGATGTTCTGAAGAAAGGAAAAATCCCTCCCATCTCTGGTGCCCAGATACAGTGACCAGTGCATCAGTTTCTTGATCACATGTGGCCATTTTGTGTCCCTGCCCTTCCAGGCCAGATCAGCTAAGTGTGCAGCATACTCAGGTCCTAGATTTTCAAGAGGGACTAATGCTTTTGGGCGCTGCTCCAGTGCAAATCAGGTCCTTTAAAGTGTCTCTTTGGCCAAGAAAAGCTCTAGAAAGAGCCAAACTACCATTCAATCTTACGCTCAGTGGTAAATCAACTTCCTAGCAACAATGCTTAAATTCCTCTTTGGGTTTTCATTTCCCCTTCTTTCCCTTTTCTCTTCCCATTCTCCACTTTTCCTTCTAATCATTTTTCTCAGACCAAAATCCAAGGAAAAGCATAACTTTCTGGCAGACATTTTGGCTTTGACTTAAGTATGGTCTGAACACACTGCCAGGAACCTGTCTCTATCTGTGACCTTGAAAAAGTCATAGGAATGAGTAATTGCCTCGTAGAATTGGACTCAGGGTCCATCTAGCCAGGTGTACTGTCTCTGACCACATGCTTCAGAGGAAGGTGCAAGAACCCCACAGTAGCAGATGTGGAGAATCTGCCTCCCACCCACCTCATCCTGCTCTCTAATGGAGCTTGGGTTAAGCCCTGACGCATGAGGCTCAATATCCCTTCCAAATTGTCTGTTGCCATTAATTATGATATCTTATGATGTTCTTGGCTTCAAAATATTCCTGCAGCAAGGAGTTTCACAGTTTAATCAGACTGAGTCAAAAAGTCACACATACACACACCTTGCCATGCCTCAGTTTTCCCATCCGTAAATAAGGGGTAATATCACTTACATTAATTAATGTTTGGGAAGTAATTAGGACATACTTCCTAATAGTAATAAAATGAAAACTTGGTGATGAGGCCACTGGTTATATTCATTAATTTTTATCTGTATAGCACCATCTTTGAGCCAGGCATTTTACAGACAGGTTTGAAGCCCTGATTCCTGCCCTGGATAGCTTGCAATGTGTTTAGGGAGAATAGCTCTGAGAGAAGGAGGATGGAATGATTTGTACACAATTAATTTCCACAGAGTCATAGTTAGTAAAAAATATGAATGGTTTATTTTTTGCAGAGAGTCAGACCCATTACACCCATTGTCCAGTTGGGGAAACTGAGACACAATACAGTCTGACTCCAAAAAGTGACTATGGAAAAAATGGCATTGTGAGATTGCATGCTTATTGTCCCTTGGTGACTGACAGAGACAAAGTGACTTGCCTAGGGTCACACAGTGACAGAGTTGGGAATAAAACCCAGACCTCCTGACACCCCCAGTATCACTCTAGCTATGAGGTGGAGAGGCCCAGCCTTTGATTTGGCAGACTTAGGTACTATTCCCAGCTCGACTACTGGCTTACTGGGTGACCTCAGGCAAACCATTCTCTCGGTTTACCCTCTAATCCTGGCTCTGTTTTCTTTGGCTCATAAGCCTTTGTGGCAGGGATTGTCTCTGACTGTGCATATGTACAGCACCTTGCACTATGGGGCTCTAAGTGCCCCTGTCATGCAAACACCAGCTCATGTCCCTACATGGTTGGTTTAAACATCTCATGCTAATATCGAAGTAGGGGGAAGTCAGAATGCACCAGCTGTGGAGAAAGATTTAGGTTGCAGGCCCCAAGGAACCCGCTCCTCCTCCAAACCGAATTCCACGCTTGGCTCCAGCTGGCTTTGCCTGGAGACGCACAGGAGCAGAATCTGCCCCCCTGAGTCCTGTCGAGAGGGGAGGGGTCCAGGAGGAAACCCCCTTAAAGCCTCTTCCTTGGAATCCCCTGCAATGGGATGAAATGCAGCAATTCTCTGCTGCCCGTTTCCTGCACACGGTGGCTGGCATGAACAGGGGTGGGGGGCAACAGTGCTTGCCCTCTGCACAGAGCATTCTGTGAGCCCACCCCCTCCCCCAGCCAGCCCCGTCTCCCCCAATCCCCACTACACTTCAGCCAAACCTTGGTCACTCAGCCTAGCCATCAGTGGTTTAATAGCTCCAGTGTCTGTCTGTATTGCTGTTTCAGGGAGCGGTGGGATTTTCTGCTGCCCCAGTAAAATGGATGCCACCTCCCTAGTATTGCAACAGTTACATCCAGTCCGCTGGAGAGAGGCGCTTTGTAGCAGCATTATTGTCCTTCGCGGAATAATAACACCAGGAGGAGCGCCTGGCCCGAGGCAGAACTGCACCCACGCTTGGGGGGGGATTGTAATGTGTTAGCTACACTGTCTCCTCAAAGCAGTACCTTTGGGGGTGTAGATCAACTGGCACAAGCTAAATCAGTCTCACCAGAAGAGTCCACACACAAAAGCTGCTCTGGCTGAACTAAACCAATTTTAAAGGTAACAGGTGCAACCTGCGCGTGTCTAGACAAGCCCGAGGAAAGAAACGGGGCAGCGCTCAACCCATCCCACCTCTGCAACAGGCGAAGGCTGCTTTCAGTTGCCTAGCGATCGGCGAGGGAAGCCTGCCCGTTGCCTAGCAGAGAAGCGTGGGTGGCACTTTCATGCAGGAAGGAGAGACGCTCAGGCTATGTCTACACTACAGTCACCACGGCGGGCCAGCTACCATGCTGCACCTTTGCCGCGGGAGTGCCGCAGAGCAGAGGTTTCCAGCGTGGACGGAAGGGGGGGGGGTTTCCGCCGGCACAGGTAATCCCTCTCTGCGAGAGGTGGCAGCTGGGTCCATGGAAGGATAGGTGCTCAGGGCGCACAACCGGTCCCAGCCGCGAGCGCCGTTGCTCGGTCAAGCCAATCTTGAAGCACAGACCAGGCCTCGCTCGTGTGCCGCTGCGCACTCCGGGCTCGCTGGCAACGGTGGGATTTTCCTGCTTCTGGCATCACTCAAGGGTGGCACCAGTTTTCAGACCCCACCGGCTGTAACCTGGGGCCGACGCACCCCGGAAAGGTTCAGGAGCAGCAGCGAAGGCCCGCTGCCATGCAGAGCTTTTACAGGGAGCCAGGCAAACCCTGTTACTTGCTAACAGTGTCTTGTGTGGGACTGAAAGACACTGGCCCGCCAGGCTTGCTGAGTGAGGTCCTGTTTCTCCCCAGGACAGGCACACCCCGGCCGGCCACAGCTGTGCTGAGACTTACCTGGGGTGAGGGGGCCATTCTGGGCCATTTGGTCCCTGGCCTCCCTGCACCATCTCCTGGGTGCCAAGTCGTGCCATTGGAGGGGGCAGTTTGCACGTGGTGACACCTCTCAACTGGGAGCTGCCTGAGACCAACAGACTCATTGTATGCAGGGCACTGAAGGCCACTCCTTGCAATTGCTCCTGAATTCGATCTGGTGACCCAGAGTTCTTTATCCAGGAGCCATTCTCCAAAGCAGCCAGGCCCCAAGCTCTTCCCCCCCCCCCCGGGTTGCAGTAGGGTGTGGTCTCCTTCTGGAGTCTTTGCTCTGCACTTGGAAGTGCAGCAGACTAGTGTAAACGTGGTCAGCTTTTGAGCTGCATTTGCCAACCGTAACTACGGTCACAAAGTTTTCTGTGGGGCAGTTCCCAAGTTATCCTTTTTAAATGAAGAGGATTCTTTCACATGCTGCAGGAAATTTTCTTCCACTGCCCCCTGGGACACAGCTGGGCTCAGGTATCTGTGTTTAGATCAGACCCACCCCTAGATACAAATTCCAGCCACCTCGCAGCAGCATGCACGGGGTAACCACAGGGTGGGCTCCGCTGGCGGGTACTAAAGTACTGATATGGCCCCCAGTAACCGTACTGTATTTCTCCTCAATGCCCCAGAAAGGAGCTGCAGGGCTCTGGGGTCTATCCGCCAGCCAAGTTCTACCTTGGCGATTGGTTACTATCATTATCATGTTCTCTGTGTATATAAATCTCCCCACTGTATTTTCCACTGAATGCATCCGATGAAGTGAGCTGTAGCTCATGAAAGCTTATGCTCAAATAAATTTGTTAGTCTCTAAGGTGTCACAAGTCCTCCTTTTCTTTTATCATTAAGAAGGGGTTGCCAATGTCTTAGTTTCTGTAGACAGAGCTTATTATCCACAGCAGGGCTCCTTACGGTCCTCCATTTACCCCCCTCTATTTCAGGGACTCCCTGCACTTCCCTAATCTCTCCCTGGCTAGGGGTTTGTGTGGTTTTTCTTCATACCTCCTCCCATCCCCTGTGAGCAGCGGTGTGCATCCCCATTCCCCCAATCAGGGTCCCCCAGTCCTCCCCCATGGTTCTGTGTGGCCCTCATTCCTGCCTGCACCCTACAGCCGCATCCCCCATTTCTCCCTCCATGTCAGGGGCTACATACACTTTCCCCTCTTCTCTTCCCCCCCACTGCGGTGTTCAGAAGTTATTGCATTGCAGACACATGCCATCCCTCTGAGGGTCAGGCCTCATGAGCTCAGTCAATTACAAGCTCCGTCAGCGGTGGGCAAGCGCCCAAAAGAGAGCAGGGCTGGGTCTGATCAATATCCTTTGGGTTGGGGCTAGAAGCAGGTTGGGGCACTACCCTGGGGGAAGGAGGATGTGGGAAGAGGGGACAGATGAGCTCGAAAGAAGCATTCCAAACCCCAGAGGAAGAATTAAATGTGGCCACGAGTCAAAATATTTCATTGACTTATTTAATTAAAAAAAATTTATTTTAAAATACAGCACCAAGACAGTGCAACGCTTTCAACCCATCCTTCCACGCGCAGCTCCCGGGCCAGCGAACTGAAGAACAGACACCTGGTTAAAAAAGGGACCGACTGACCAACCCCACGTTTTGCAAAAGGAAGTTCCCTAAGAGGTCTGCTCCCGCCCAGAACCCCGCTCCCGCCTGAGAAGGCGACACCGGCTTACACCGGCCCAGGATCGTTGCCATCCGAGAACTGGCAGGCCGGTGACTGACACATTCCTACAATGCTTTGGCTGGACCGGCCCAAGTTCCAACCGCCATCCCAGCAACTGCGATTCTCTTCCCAGACCTGTGCCCACAGCCGCAGCCTCGGTTTAAAAGCTGCATTGGTGTGTGTTATTGGGAACACAACACCCGCTATGCCAGGGAGGGGGCGGCTCAGGGTCCACTCCCCCTCCTCCACTCAAACAGCAGAACGGCCAGTCAAGCTGTACGGTTTGACCCACAAACTGCGTATTAGACAAAATCTCGAGCTTCCTGCTGGCAGCGTCCCTTTGCGAGCAGAGAACCCATCTCCTTCCGAAGGGGCAGGGATCCTCCCCGCTCCCAGCTTGATCCTGAACAGGGAACTCGCGGCTCCTGCCGAGAAGAGAATTGGCCACTGGGCGGGGAGCGGGAGGTCTGGCGGCACAGGGAAGAGGCTCCTAGCTCAGCGTCCACCAGCTTCCCCTGCAGCCAGAGACACCGAGAAATAGGAGACATCTTGTGCTAAGGGTAAGCCAGCGCTCCAGGCCCGGGAGAGTGGGACGCCTAGCTAAAGCCACGCTGCCATGGGCTGGGATCTGTGCTGGAGGCATCATGGGAACCCAGACGCAGTTAGCACCAGGGAGGAGCAGGAGAACACACCATGCATCACCAATTCTTCCCTTTAACAGGGGGACAGACTGATCGGGAAGGACATCCACATCAACCTTATTACTAGCTGGTGAATTTGGCCTAGCAAGGAGAGAGGAGGGGACCCATCAGTGACACAGATAGCCTTTTTGACTTCATTTCTTCCCCCACCTCGTTTCAACCCACGATCCTTCACCAGCCCTGACAAGACAGGCAGGCCCGTGTAAAACACAAAGCCTCCAGCATTAGGGATTGAACCACCCCACCTAAGCTGGGTTCAGCAAACAGGAGAAAGGCCGCGTTTGCCCTTCCATGAGGATTTATTTCGGCCTCTAAGCAAACTCAGAGCCAGTCACACTGGAGCGTTAAAGGAACTTCTGAACCTACACTGGTCAAGTGGGCTTGAAATTTGCCAAACCAAGGTCATTCTTCCCTAGCTCGGGCGTAGACATCAGAGATCGCAGCCTCATGGCAGGGTCGTCTCCAAGGGCTTGGGGAAGCAGCTGGCGAGGCACCCCCAGTGCGTCTTAAAAATAATCAGTTGCTAGAAACGGAGGCGGAAAGGTACTTTTACCCTTTCCTAAAAAGGAAATGATTTAGCAACAATAAACCACTCCCCAAAAGCTCTATCTGCTAAGATCCAGCATCCGCCCCCACCACGCACGCCCTTGGCTTTGTGGCTCTTTAAATAAACACAAACACACAGAGAATGAAGAGACCAATTAACAAGGAGATTTCTCTTTGGGGAAAGTGGCTTCCGTAACATTAAACCTCCTTGACCTCTCCAGCTATTCCTGCTCCCCAAGGAAACGTTCAGACAGGATCCATTTCTCCCCCATTTCTCTCCTCGTCCCTCGTGTGCTCCGTCGCTGACCGGAGCTTTGATCGCACAGCGCCTGTTGTTTTGCAGCCTGGGCAAGTGGGGTGCAAACTGAGCTCAGGGATCCCTTCACCCTCCTCCTCTACCAAGGAATGGGGCAGCGGCTCAGCAGCCTTATGCAGCCGATTAGGAAGGGAAGTGAAAACTACCTCTCCCTGACAGTGCTATCTGGGGAGCTTCAAGGAGGCCGAATGCAATGACTCCAGTGGGAATTGAGCCAGGACGCCAAGATTAAACCTCGGACTCTCGCCAAGCAGTGTGATCCATTCTAATGGGGAGAGTGGCCACTAGGAGGTGGGGTCCCTGGGTTCTATTCCCAGCTCTGACCTTGTACAAGTCACTGCCCCTCTGTGCCTCAGTTTCCCCCCACCCCAGCTATAAAATGGTCATAACGATACTGACCCTCCTTGCTTTGAGATCTATGAGGATAAGAACTAGGGGACTATTCTCACAAGGGCCACAGGCTCTCTGCTGAGCACAAGGTGCCAGGCCTGGGCTTTAAGTCTTGTCCCAAAAGAGGGTTCCTCCTGCAGCATAGTTCTCCTTAACGGCCCTGCAATGCCCATTGCATCGGCACTCCCTAGAGATCTGCTGGCCTCAAATGGCCCCAGGCCAATGCTGCTTAGCTTGTTGGCCGAGCGGCTCATGGGAACGGCTCCCTTAGCTCTGGGCCATTCTAACCCCTCAGTCCTCCAGGCCAGTCGACATTAGTACTCAGCCCCGTTATGGCCCTTTGCATCTGAGGATCCCAAAGCACTTAACCCCAGTTTCCGGGGTAGGGACGACACGGTCATTTGTGGCCTGGGGGTCTGGAATGCTTTTCCTCTTCCACACCCCGCGGCTCGGGGCAGACGGGGAAGGGCCACGTCCTGAAAACAAAGAGGTGCGTCAGGCCAGGAGATTGGGCAGAGGATAGGACGGGACGCAGAGAACCCCTGCGTTCAGGAAGTGGGCCAGGATCTGCTGTGCTGTACGAAGTGGGGTATAAGCTGTATGGCATTTCTGCAGTTAACTAGAGATGGGAGGTCATTTTATCTCAGTCTTTGGCACCGGTGTGACCGCTGCTAGAATAGCGCATTCAGGCCTGGGGTGCACACCTCAAGGAGGATGTTGATAAACTGGAGAGGGGTCAGAGAAGAGCCACGAGACTGACCGGAGGATTAGAAAGCCTGTCTTAGAGTGACCGAGCCCTGACTCTGTCAAGCTTAACAAAGGGAAAGCTAAGGGGGGACCTGATCACAGTCTGTATGTATCTCCACAGGGAACAAATATCTAATAACGGGCTCTTCACTCTCGCAGAGGAAAGTCAAACACTGGAAGTTGAAGCGAGGGAAATTCCGACTGGAAATAAGGCACACATTTTTAACGGTGAGAGTAATTAACTATTCAAACCACTCCCCAAGGGTCGTGGTGGCTTCTCTGCCACTGGCCATTTAAAATCAGGATTGGCTCTTTTTCTATAGGATCTGCTCTAGGAATCATTTTGGAGCAGGTCTCTGGCCTGTGCGATGCAGGAGCTCAGACCAGATGATGCCAGTGGTTCCTTCTGGCCTTCACATCAGCAGAACATAAGAGCGGCCAGACTGGGTCAGACCAAAGGGCCATCTAGCCCAGTGGTCCTGTCTTCCGACAGTGGCCCATGCCAGGTGCCCCAGAGGGAATGAACAGAACAGGGAATCATCAAGTGATCCATCCCGTCGCCCATTCCCAGTTTCTGGCAAACAGGGGTTAGGGACACCATCCCTGCCCTATCGCCATTGATGGACCTATCCTCAAGGAACTTATCTAGTTCTTTTTTGAACATCGCTATAGTCTTGGCCTTCGCAACATCCTCTGGCAAGGAGTTCCCCAGGTCAACTGTGCATTCGGTGAAAACATACTTCCTTTTGTTTTAAACCTGCTGCCTATTTATTGACTCCTAGTTCTTGTGTGAGAAGGAGTAAATAACACTTCCTTATTTACTTTCTCCACACCAGTCATGATTTTATAGACCTCTATCACATCCCCCCCCTCAGTCACATCTTTTCCAAGCTGAAAAGTCCCAATCTTATTAATCTCTCCTCATAGGGCAGCCATTCCATACCCCTCATCATTTTTGTTGCCCTTTTCTGAACCTTTTCCAATTCCAATATATCTTTTTTGAGATGGGGTGACCACATCTGCACGCAGTAAGTAGAAGCATTTGAAAGGTCAGGCCCAAGGACACAAGAGGCCACCTGGTGCTTCTCTGCCACCACAGGAGGTCAGGAAGCATTGCTTAACCTCATGCCAGGGCTATGAGGTTTCTGTGTTACCCTGCTGCCAGTCTATTGAGGGGAAACTGAGGCACGGAGAGACACTGCTTGCCGGAGATTGCACAGCAAGCCAGCAGTGGAGCTGGGAATTGATCTCAACTACCAGTCATGCGCTGCAATAGGCAGAACTGTGCAGGCTGGCAGATGGGGTGAAAACAGAGGAAGCTCCAAATTAAGCGTGGACCGGGCCGGGGGAAGATCTAGCTTTATCAGGGCTCTAGTAATCCTGCGCCTTCAAGCCACTGAAGACTCCGAAGACCTAGACAACAATTATGTCCTGTTTAAGCCTAAGCCACATGGTTGATCTTCTGCCTAAGGAATCAGTTTCACATCTAAAATGGTGCCTCCTCTCATTAGATCTGCTTAGCAAGGGCCCCTGGGACAAGCAGATCCGATTTTGGACCTCTCCCGCCTGTGATTGGGGGGGGGGGGGTGGTCAGGATAGGAGCTCCCCCTGAGAGCACGAAACGCAAGCTCCCACTCACGCGTGCCAGCCGGCTCCTCGTCACCCAGTCAGTCCTGGTTCCAAACCGCTCTATAAAAGTCGCACTAAAAAAGTAAGGGGTCCCCCCTGCCCCCAAAAAAGCAGCAGCATTTGATTTTACTGTATAGAGATCTATTTATATAACTCCAGCTCTGATAGAGGAGACTCTGTAGAAATATCACACGCACACAGAATAAAGTTATTCCCTCTTGTAAGAAAAGAAACCATCTCACCACACTTATTAAAAATCACAAGCCAGAAAAATACCCACTTTGCATGGAATCTGGGGAGCCCAGATATAAACCTGCATCTTTCGATTGCTCTTGGTTGAGACGGATCTTGGTTACACTAGGTGAAGGGACTCAGTCTTTTCCATATGGGAACCACCCTCCAGTTTAACTGGGACCCATCCCCTCTTTCCATTTAGCAGTTCGAGAAGAGAGCAGAACTCCCAGGAGAAGGATCCCCGACACCCCTGTAAAACCAGAGTGACTCCACTGGAACCAGGGGCGTTCTAGATTTACTCCCCGTGCAACCAAGATCAGAATCCAACTGCATAGGCAGAGAAATAGCGGGGGGAAGGAAAGCTGGGGGAGGGGGAAGATCTAGGGCCCAGACCTTAATGGAAGCTTTGCATGAGTAAGGACCGCAGGGGTGGACCCCTAGCGAGGGACGCTCCCAGGAACAGCGACTGCAGGGAGATTATGCCCCCGTGACAACGGAGTTTGCCCCATTCCCCACCCCGATACTGGTGCTCTGAACCTTCAGGGATAAAGGGACCGGATTAATAAAGACACTGAAAGCCAACCAGCCCCTCGCCCCCAAGGAAATGCCAGGGGCGGAGGGCAGAATACAGAGAACCTACATTACCAGAGGGGCAAACACACCGCCGCTTGTGGCAACCTACGGCAGCGTCTGGGGGGGGGCGACTGCATTGTATTCTTAAAGGGCCTATTCCAGTTCAACTCCTTGGGGGGAAAGGGAGAAATCAGTAATAAATAAGGAGGAAATAAGTGCATGGAGGCTGGGGGAGGACCCCTTTGGAGCTGGAGAGGGGGAGGGGAGGGGAGGGCTGGCATCTCCAGGCTGCCAAGGCGGCCCCGTGCTGCACAAACAGCCTTTAATAACCAGCTGGCAAGTCCCCACAGAGAATCTCCCCACACGCCACAAAGGGAATTTCAGCTGGTGGAGGCAGTGTAGCCCCTCCCCCCCACCCCCAGTTCACTGGACCCCCTCCTCCCCCACAACACGGCGTTCTGCCAGTCCCTATCCTTGGAAGGGACCACACACCCACTGCCCAGGTTATAACAGGGCCCTTCCTGATCTAGCTTCGGTGGGGGCCAAGTGGCCCTGCTCAGTGCTATGGCCACCTCTCACCGCAGTGGGGAAACTGAGGCCATGCAGGTCACTGGCTGCGTATGGGTCAGCAGGGACCCAGGGCAGCCCGCAGGCTTCAGCGATGCTTCCTTGGGTCACCAACATCTGCCTTCGCAGGTGCCGTCAACACTAAGCAAAAGCAGCCCAGCCTACGAGGGTCCCCTACCCCTGAGTCCCGTCCCCCACGCCAGCAATGATGCCAAGCGCTACAGGACAGGAACATCGGGGAACCCAGCATGCACTGGGGCAGGACGGCTAAGGTGGGCTGGGTCAGAATCGCTCCAGGTCAGGGCTATGAACTGGGGACACCGCTGGCTGCTGCAGAGGAAAGAGCCAGTGACAGCCCGGCGCCCGGTGCCAGGCTTATCTGGGGAGGGGAGACGCCAGCCTCACCTGCACCAGCTCAGGCTACTAACCACTTCACACCCCAGCCATGGAGCCCTTCCTGAAAGGTTGTTTCTAGATCACCTGCTTTTGCCCTCTCCTCACTGGTCCATTAAGTGCCCTCCTTTCCTCTCCTCCTCCACCCACTTAGCCATTCATAAGCCACTTCCCCCACCCCCCGCCCTATCCCCATCACAGGGGCCCTGGGACCGCCCCAGAGAATAGTCACCCAGCGACACCCTTGCATGAGACAGCTGGTGGGAAAGGTTGGGCTCCTTCAACAGTTCTTGCTGGAAACAGATCCCCCCTGAAGCATCAGCCGAAAGCAGGAGAGAGAGAGACAGGCAGCTCCCAAAAGGCCAGTCAATTTGTGAGCTGCAAAGCCCGGCTTGATGTGCACGGGCAGGAAAGGATGCCACGTCCCATTGCACAACACTGACGTGAGAAGGGACATGCTGGCTAATGCAGTACGTTTCAGTGTATTTTAAAGGTGGCCTTTGGCGAGCCGCCCCGAGAGGCGGCCGCTGCTCCCAGAACCAGGGTCCTCCAGCTGGGCTGGTGTCTCTTCCCGGCAGCCCCAGTTCAGGAGGCCAGAGACAAGGTCCAGCCAGAGGAGCTCCGCACAGTCCTCGAGCTCTGGTGCCGGAATCCTGGCCGCTGCAAGATCGGGCCCCAATCCCAGCAAGCTGCTGGCTTCTTCGAGACAGTCCAACGACCTGGGCCATTTGAGACAGTCCAACGCCACTGGAGATTGGTCCTGCAGAGCTGGGACCCAGGGGCCACGTGGAATACGGAGATGGGGCAAAGGGGTCCGACTCCCAGCCGTACCAAGCTTGAGGAACACCCAGCAGACCCATCCCAGACACGTCTCTGAAACGTTCCCAGGGGCGAGATTCTCTCCACAGAGCCCAGGGAAAGCACTGGGGGGAGGGGGTTTGCTTCCTGATCTAAAGCATGCCTGGATTGTAATGCTTGAGAGAGGCGTGGGTGCAGAGCAGCCTATGCCCAGAACAGGTGCGGTGTGGGCATTGGTAGGGCCAGTTCCCTCCTTGGTCCAACGCAGGAGGGGAGAGCCATGCCAGCTACACCGATGGCTTTGTTACCCAGGCGGTGGGACCCCGGGAACTGCCTGTGACCCAAAAAAACTCGCTCCACCAAGGCCAATCGGCCTGGGCTCAAGCTGAAGCCCTGGAAGGCTCCAGGTTTCGTGGGGATAGCTGATGTTCAACCTTCTGGCCAGTGGCACACGAGCTTCCAGCCCGGTCGATCCCCAGTGCAGGCAGAACACCCGTGTCTACAAAATCACGCGGGGCAGCTCCTTGTCCCCCTCTAGTGGTCAGACCCCAGAGTCCGCTACTGCGACAGAACGAACAGAGCTGGGCGCTTAGCTCAGGCGACAAACTCACTGGTTTTAGAGCCAGAGGTCCCAAGTTCAATCCTCGTAGCTGACTCAACCAGGGGCATTACCGCACCCCACCCTGCAGCCCCGACCTACCTCCGGGCTGGGTCTACACTGGGAACTTACACCAGCACAGCTACGCCTCTGCCGGGCGTGAAAAAATCCACGCCCGAGCGGCGTAGTTAAGCCAACCAAACCCCTGGTGCAGTCAGCACTCGGGCGATGGAAGAATTCATCCGTCGACCTAGCTTCCACCTCTCGGGAAGGTGGACTGCCAAGAACAACGAGAGAAGCCCTCCCCTCGGCCTAGGTGGGGTCTACACCAAGCGTTCCACCAATGCAGCTGCAGCAGGTTGAGTGTAGACACACTCTTAGGGACTTCAGTGCAGCTACTTGCGGCAGAGTCAAATGGAGCGTCCCACTTGGCTGAGAAAGGCTGCTATGTAACCGCTGTTGGGCCAATAAACTAGTCCACTCTGATCAATGCACTTTACCTAGTGCAGTTCTGGGACAGGCCTGCTCTCGATGGACTCCAGTCACTTAGCCCTATATTTCCAGCAGTGACTGATTTTTGGGGCACCCCACCTGACCCACCTCAAAGGGGCTCCCTGTGTCTTTAAAGTGCTGAGCACTCTTTGGGGAAAAAATTAAATTACAAGTTTTCAGGTCTCCGGTGGAGCGCGGAAAATCTGTGGCAACCCCCAAATCACCAAGAACCTAAACGCAGGCCCAAGCTCCCCTTAAAACAGCTGCACATGGCCAGGATCCAGCAGCAATATGCTGCGTAGACAAATGCTCAACCCGCACCCCCTTCAAAGAGGCTGGCTGAAGCGCCTGTCACACCCTCCCTCTTTACCCCCGCCCCCTGATTCCACAGCTATAAAAACCGATTCTGTCCATAAATAGATTCCTGCCTAAAAAGCCCAGCCCCACCCCATGGCAAGGACTGGACTGAGAGTCACTCGAAAGGTACATGACCCACCCAGTGCCAGTCACTCAGTCTGTGTCCACTGGCCAGACACCCACAGCTTGCAAAGGCCTCAGAAGGTTGCAGCTGGGGGGCATCAGTCCGTATAAATAAATATTCAGAATTCCCCTCTGGGAGAGGGAGCGGGAGGGAGATATCTATATATAGATATAGATATGCTGGGCTTCCCGCAGAGGCAGAGGGGAGAATTTCAGGGGAGCAGGTCCTGGTTTCTAGAAGGGGAGAGGAAGAGGGAGACGCAGGGGACTTCGGCCACTGGCCGTCTCCTCCCTGAGCAGCCTTCTGTCCCAAGAGTGAAGCAGTCACGGCCTCTGCGGACGGGAGGCAGAACTGGCCTGGTTTAAGCTGCCTTTGTCAAGGGGCCCCCAAGGTGTAAGCTGGAACCATCCCGAGGGTGCCCCCTGCTGGGGAAGTGTCATTGCAGAGAGGCGGCAAGGGCCCTGATTTGCCCCTCAGCATCTCCAGGGCGTAACAAGTCAAGCCGGTAGAGTCTGGCACGGTGGTAGCCGGGGGTTCCCGGAGAGGTGCCACGTACCACCACCATGCAGGAGTCTGCCCCGGGGAGGGGCTGGCGGCAGCCGGGGCAAGGTCGTGGCCACCTCCCACTAGCCCCTTCCACAGCCATCAAGGGGGCACAGCACAGCCCGCGGGACTGGACGCCCGACCGTTGTGCCATGCAGGGCGGGGGTGGGGGACGCTGGACGTCACCACGAAGCCAGGTGGGGAGAGGCCGCTGCTCGAAGACACCCAGAACACGGAGAGGAAGGGCCCCGTAAGCAAGACCCCGTCAGGGAGGAGCGGACGGTTCACTCCCCTGACAGATCCAAGGGCAGCCTTGGCACCGGGCCCTCTCAGCGGCTTCCTGGGCTGGCCTGGGCCAGGCGGCACCTTTTGGGGTCCGTGCCACTTGCTCCCTGCTCGGAGCAGCGCCAGCCCCTACAGGAACTTGGCTGGGCTGGGGGCAGGGCTGGCGACGGGGCTCCCCGCCAGGCTGCCGGGCGCTGAGTCGCTGGGGGAGACGCTGGGGCAGCCCTGCCGCTTGACCATGGAGGGGTGGAAGGCGGGGTGGCGGCGGGCATGCTTGGTGAGGTGGTCACTGCGCATGAAACGTTTCTCGCAGAGCGGGCAGGCGAACTTCTTCTCCCCGGTGTGGGTACGGTAGTGGCGGGCCAGCTCGTCCGAGCGCGCGAACTTCTTGGAGCAGTAGGGCCAGGTGCACGGGAACGGCCTCTCACCTGCGGGGAAGGGAGGGAAGAGGGTGAGACACAGCAAGGAACCCATGGGGGACATCCCTGTGCCCCCCACCCCAACCCCTTTAGGACCCCCAGACAGTCCCCAGGCCCACCCTGGCCCCTTTGGACTCCTCCACATAATTCCCATATCCCCCACCCCACCACTAACCCACCCCTTTGGGCTCCCCCAGATGGTCCCTGTGCCCCCCCCCACCCCTGACCCCTTTGGCCTCCCCCAGTCCTCCTGCTCCAACAGCACAGGCTCTTAACATTTCAGCTCAAGGAGACTCTCCACTAGCCATTCACCCTATAGGGTCTATGACACACAGCTGAGCAGTTTCAATTCCACCCAGTGGAGGGCAGTGTTACACACATCGGTCCAATAACAGTGTTGGACAAACAACCCAGGTACATTGTGAGTTGCAGGCTCCAAGTTCTGGGCATTTGCTCTAGCCAGGGGCAGCTGGCTTGGCAGCCCAGTGACATGATCTCATGCAGCTCTCATGTGTGAGCTCCGAGTCCCTGGACTGACCTGGGGAAGGGCTCAGAGCAATGCCACTTGGAGAACGAGGCAAAGAGAAAGGGAAAGTTAATCATTCATTTTGGCTCCTACCCCTCCAAAACAATCTCCCGTGTCCCAGCTAGGTGGCAGCACGCTAATTAAGGACACTTCAATCTCTCTGGTCACTCGATTACAGACCTAAAAGTTGCAATTCTTTGGGGGAGGGATAGCTCAGTGGTTTGAGCATTGGCCTGCTAAACCCAGGGTTGTGAGTTCAATCCTTGAGGGGGCCATTTAGGGACCTGGGCCACAAATTGGGGATTGGTCCTGCTTTGAGCAGGGGGTTGGACTAGATGACCTCCTGAGGTCCCTTCCAACCCTGATAATCTATGAACAAAAAAACTTCAGAAACAGACTCCAAGGAGAGACTGCTGATTTGGAATTAATTTGCAAACTGGATACAATTAACTTGACTGGGCGTGGATGGGTCATTACACAAAGTAAAACTATTTCCCCGTGTTTATTCCCCTCCCACCCCCCCCCCCCCCACTGTTCCTCAGACGATCTTGTGAACTGCTGGAAATAGCCCACCTTGATTATCACTACAAAAGGTCCGTTCTCACCCGCCTCCTGCTGGTAATAGCTCACCTTAAGTGATCACTCTCCTTACAGTAAAAAGGAGTACTTGTGGCACCTTAGAGACTAACCAATTTATTTGAGCATGAGCTTTCGTGAGCTACAGCTCACGAAAGCTCATGCTCAAATAAATTGGTTAGTCTCTAAGGTGCCACAAGTACTCCTTTTCTTTTTGCGAATACAGACTAACACGGCTGTTCCTCTGAAACCTCTCCTTACAGTGTGTATGGTGAAACCCATTGTTTCATGTTCTCTGTGTATATAAAATCTCCCCACTGTAATTTCCACTGAATGCATCCGATGAAGTGAGCTGTAGCTCATGAAAGCTCATGCTCAAATAAATTTGTTAGTCTCTAAGGTGCCACAAGTCCTCCTGTTCTAATTAAGGACGGTGACACGCACCACATTTCCCTGGGTTTGAGGATACTTCTGCCATGCGAGTCTTTTCCCCCCCCGCAGAGTCAGAGAGCGGATCCCAGACAGCTGCGATCAGCGTCTCATGTGTTGCGTTACCAGGGAACCGGGAGCATGCACGCGCCTCGCTCTGCTCCCCGTGTCCCCGAACCGCCCTGCAGCAGAACTGGGACGCCGGGAGGCACTGACCTGGAACAGCAGCGGGGGCTGTGGGGCAGGACTGAGGGGCAGCAGCAGAGCTGGGTGCAGGGAGAAATCGGGAATAGCAGCAGGCGTGACACCCATTCTCTGGTAAACCAGGTCCGGTCAGGCTATCGGGGGGAGTCTCCTTTCTCCCCAGGAAGGAGCAGTTCAGTTCTCCTGCAACAGACCCACCTCCCCCGGCTCTGGGCTCTGACCCTGGTGCAGGGCTTGTGCGAAAGAGAGAGGCTAGGGGGCGCTGTGCTGGGACAGGCCCAATGCCCACTCGCCCCGGACAGACAGCCCTGGAAACACAAACGCCGCATGCACCCCCCGCCCACGGGCAGCCCGCTCCGGCGAGCCGAGAGGACAGCTAGGACTACGCCAGGCCCGGGAACTAGAAGTGGGAAGTGATTTAACTGGGAATTGGTCCTGCTTCGAGCAGGGGGTTGGACTAGATGGCCTTCAGGGGTCCCTTCCAACCCTGATATTCTATGATTCTATAAGTGCCCAGCAGACAGGCTCAGCCAAGGGTTTCAAGCCCACCCAACCCCTGGGGATTGTTTGCTGGTTCTAATCCGCCCCCATCTGCCTAATCCTGACACAAAGCAACTGACCTGAGCAAGAATTAAAAAAAAAACAGACCCAGAGAGGATGAAGGCAAAATTAAAACCTCAAATTAAGATGCGGCCGGCTCCGGCCTCCCCAGAGACTAATTAGATGCTGGGCACAGGGCTTCCAGCCTAGCCCCCAGTTCATCAATCTCGCTCCACACGCAGTGACTGCTGCCTCTCTTACTAGGGCGCCCCCTGCTGGTCAGCTGTAGGCTATACCTGGACTCGCAAACTTGTCCGGACTGAAGGTATTTCGAAGAGAGCCGACACCCCATTGAGATCAAGGGGGCCAGGAGCGTCAGTACTAGAGACATAAGGGCCGTGCGTTCCTGGGGGCCTGTACAAGGGGCAGTTGGGCTGACAAAGCCGAGAGCCACTTGCAGCGAGACGCCAAGAGAACCCCAGGGCTTAATCTCACTAGGCTCCGTTCCAGGCTACAGCAGGTTCCTGCAATCACAAGTGTGACAGGATCGTCACCGGATCAACAGTGAGCGAAATTCCAACACAATCTGCCACTTGCGTCCTTTCTTCCGGTTTAACCCACCCAGCCCCTCGCCCCCAGCAGAAGGGTCCCAAGGCCCAGGAGGGGAATATCACTGGACCCATGGCTGTTTCAGGTCTGACCCTGACTGACCCCTTCAGGCCACGTATCAGCGGGTTACCACTGTGCAGTTGGACAGTTAATGAAGCACCTGCATCTACAGGTGCAGAGGCAGAGACTAGGGCCAAGTTAAACTTCCTTAAACGTTTTTTTTTTTCCACAACGTATGACACAGGTGGACTGCAGAGGAATTGCCAGACTGGATCAGAGTAGGGGCCCTTCTAGACCAGTCTCCTGTCTCAAACAGTGGTTAGCACCAGCTGCTTCAGCAGGAGGAGGAAGCAGTGATGGGGTAATCTGCCCCCAGCAAAGCTGGCTCCTGACCCCTATGGCCAGAAGCCAATTCATGCCCTGAGTTGGGTTTATCTCCCTGCCAAAATGCTTGTACCTTTAAACCGCACTGTTGAACTCTGGGTGATCTTTTTTTTAATCCTGCAAAACTCTTGACCCTGGTGATCCCTTGTAGCAAGGAGTTCCACGGGCCAGAAAGAAGCTCCTTCACCCATCTGTCAGTCGAATGATGAGGTGGCCAAGTGTCAAGGTTTTAAAGTCAGCATAGATTTGGGGCGACCAGCCTCCCCCACTCACAGCTTTGTCCCTGGTAAGCGACACGACTATGAAACATTTAAACCATATCACCCTGCTCTGTGAATCCCACGCACGAGAGGCTTTCCCCTGACTGCACAATCATCAGTTGGCACGATCTCACACAGCGGTTTTCGACAGGAAAACACAGCCCCCGTCACTGGTGTTACAAATAGCTTCTCCTGACTTGCGTAAGCCCAGGGCAAAGGAGTTGGGCGGCGTCAGAAGCGGCTCCAATTTCAAGAGCTTTTTCCCAGCCCCAGCGTGAGTCACAGCCCAAGCTTGGCAGAGGAGCGTGGGATGTTCAGGGGACCCTTTCAAGGTAAAATGAAATCAAAAGTCTTTGCTTATTCCTGTAGCCCCCCAACCCTGCAAACTGCTCCTGGCAGGCTTAACCGGGCTCCCTTGGACTTCAGAAGGGCTTCTCAGAGTGTCATGCTAAGCACATGTCGTAGCAGCTGTGCCTAGGAGATCTGACAGATCATTGGCCACCATTGACCTGAATTTAACAGGCATGTTTATTAGCGTTACAGTAGCACCTGGCGGCACTGATCAGGGGCCATGGGCTAGGGCGACCCTACGTTCCAGTTTGGCTGGGGCAATCCCCATTTTTAAGCCCCATCCCAGGTGTCCCGACATTTTTGGCAAAACTGGGCACTGGTCCGGTTTGCTCTGACCAACTGATCATCAGCTGGACCAATGCCCAGTTTTGCCCAAAGGAGTGGAGCCCGCCCTGCTACGGGGGCATGGAGGAACGTTTGCGGGGGGGGGGGGGAGGAGGTGGCAACACCAGGCAGGTCGAGCTGGTCCCACGCGGGCGGGGGGGGGTGGCGAGGATGACTTGGGCCGGCCTCGCACAGAGTCCTGTTTTCACTCTGGGAAATCTGGTCACCCTAGCGAGGCCCCCCTGCAGTAGGCCCCCACCACAGAAAGAGAAGGGCCCTGCCCCACCTGTGATGCATTATGTGGTTTGTTTTTGCTGCCTGGAGTTTTGTATTAGTAACACCTCCACAGACGATTAATAATGAATGCCTTGAAAGTCTTGTTTGCTTGTCTGTATTCCCAGGCTCACATCCCCACACGAGCCACTGGCCGCTTTCACGTTGCGCTTCTCAAGGCCCACCTCCTTCGCCCTCTTCATTAAAATACTTCTACTCAGCTCAGATTCTGCACAAACAAGAGGGACGCAGGGCAGCAGCTAGATGGGCGAGGGGCTGTAAGAATTCCTGGCTCTACCACCAACTCACAACATCACCCAGGGCAAGTCACGGCCCTCGTGTGCCTCAGTTTCCCCATCTGCGAAACAGGGATACCACTACTTCCTCTGTGTTTTGAAAAGCTTTGCTCCCTGACGTCCGGGACATGCTCTGAAAACCCTGGTAACTCGACGGGAAAGGCGTTCGGCTGCTCTGTGCCCACCAAGACTGCAGCACGCAGTGCGAGTCAATGGTATGCCTACTCTTACACCGTG